ACAAGATCAATGTCGGTGCCAAATTGCGAGTGAATGTCGTGTTGGCCAGCATGGAGGTGAATTGAGGCACTTTCCAAATATATTACAAATTTTCAAAAACATTTGCAAGTCTTCTTGAAAGACTTGCAAATTTCTATTATATTAGGAAGGTGGTCCAAAATCATCTATTTCTGTTTTCTACAGAAATATATGTATAAATACATGAACGGGAATCTAAAATGCCACCCAAAAAGCCCGTCGATCCAGCTCAAATGCTCCGTCTCAAAGCGATGCACGATGAAGATGCACTCGTGATTAACGATCTTGAGCGTCATTTCGATCGATTGACCCGTTTGTTTGATTCACGATGTGAAGATTTGCGATCGGAACGCGCGACTATCGCGAGCACTGATTTCGATAAGCAGGTGGAATTGTATTTTAGTACTGCGAAGCGATGGGAACAACTTCGCGAAACTCTGCGCAAACTGGCAAAGTAATGAGATCACACACTTTTATTCTAAACAAATACAAGTGTATCTAAAATAAACATGTCGTCATTTTCGCTTTACGGACCGCTCAGACGAGCGGATGAAGTCGGGGAATTTTTCGAGTATAATATCAGTCCCGTTCGAGCGATTACCCTTCCGCGAGCCATATATTCTACAAAGTATAGAACGTTCTCCAATTGGAAGGAAATTTCTTTTGAAATCGATGATCCAGCGATTATTTCGAGGTTGGAAGCTGTGAAAGACGAGATCGAGCGTGAAATTCAAAAGATCGAGCCTGGTGCGCAACTTGATACGATGCTATCTGAAAACTTTCCGAGCCGTAAATTTTCGCGGGAATCAGAGACGGATGAAGAACACTGGTTGTCTATCATGATCGAAAACGACAGTCTTTTCATCAGCAGTGAAGGAAAAAAAGTAGCAAAACCGAAGCTGTTTCGTCCGTTCCTCGGATCAGCAGTGGTACGGTTTGAATCTGTTTTCGTTAAACGAATGGAAAATGTAACAAAGTACAGATTTAATGTTGTATTGGGTTGTATGACAGAGTTTGAAGACATAAGTGGTTAGAAAAGTTTAATGGCGCGATTTTTAATTTGCTCCAACGTTCTCCGTCGATAAATGTCGAATAATTTATGACGATAGGACATTCTCTGCTTTTCCAACTCCTTGAGTTTTTGCGTAACGAAAATTTCATCCGATTCCAGCATTTTTAGATTGCGCGAAAAATATTAAATGGTTTTCATTTAATATTTCAATCGAAGTGGAGACCACTTATGATGAGGGAGAACGTAGCAATCGGTATCTCTCCAGTCGGAGGTTGAAAGACTCTAATTCTTGGACTGATGTGCATCAATGCGGAGTGTTCCTTCCCGTGAATGGCGTCTAACATTGCCGGAGGCTTGTCCTTATCTTCTACAGAGTTAAAGTGATATGGAAAACAATCGATAATTTCCCCACCGGATACGTGTAGTCGCCGACCTGTTTCCGTTTTCACAAAAGGATTGACCAAGATACAATCGGGAACTAAAATCGAAAATTGACGAGAGACATGATCCCATAAATCGTCGAGTCGTTGGCATGCAATCGGGTCGGACACTTCGGCCTCTGTTTCCAGCAAGTTATAATCGGTATCCGGTATCCGCCAGTGAGAACGAATTCCGCGACAAAAGTACGGTATTTTTAATGTGATAGGCAGGATGTAGTCGGTCACAGTCTCGCCACGGAGGCACGTCACTCGACGAGGTCCTCGAATCCGAACTTGTGAAACATCACGCGGACTGGAGTATTCGTCGCGATCGGCATCATCAAGTAGGTAATCGTATTCGTCATTATCGGAATCCTCGTTCGGCGTCATTTTTAGATTGCGCACAAAATATTAAACGTTTTTATTTAATATTTGATTCATTCTCGTCCCGCGTTTTTGCGTTGCTGTGCATCGTACAATCTTTTTCTGCTCAATTTCGTCAAGTACCTACGAATGAAATCCTCAAAAAATTTCCTTTCAGAATCTTCACCTTCGTCTTCGGAACTTTCATCGATCCATACCTGTGACCTTTGGATTGTGAGTGAAAGGATGTCATCTACGTATGATTCCATTAGTGCATCAAGTTCTGGACATGAAAATTTTATCCACGAAACTCCATCATCCGCCAGTCTCAAGTAAATAGATCTAATACTGAAAGGACGCACATCGGGAGCTCGAATGGGGAGAGAAGAGCTAATTTCCTGCAAAATACGAGTCAGCGTTGTTGTCCTATCTCTTGAAAGATCGACGGGGTATTTGTTGGAGAGGTAGTCAAGAAACTCGGTTTTGTTCCACACGTTCGGTCGGGATTCCGTCATTTTCAAAATGTTTATACTTGTTTAAACATTTTGATATCAAAATTTATTCTAATTTTGCCATCAGGTCGAACACCCGACTCTTGTAAATGCACAACAAAACCTCAGTCACGACCACATATAGTCCTCTGACATCTTCCGTTTCATCGCATCCCATATCGACATCATGCATTTCAGCTCTCACGATTGTTTTGAGTGTTTCTTTTAATTCGCCGTGATTGAGGGTATCGAAGTGTATTTTGAGATCATGCAGGTTTGAATGTCGTATCTTTGCAAATGCGCTCTTAATCTCAATCATGCCTTTCCCGACAGCTCCAGTCATTTTGTATCGCGCATAGGCACCCTTGTTGGGATGAATCATCAGTTCGCATCGACCGCAAATGTTTTTCTTCATTTTAAACTAATTTCAAACTATTTATTTTGATATCAATTTTTGATATCAAAATTTATTGATTCAGCACGGCCAGAATGGCGGATCGCACTCGGTCGTACATGACAAAATAATACGGACGAGGCGAATTCTTGGTGACTTCGTTCTCATACCAATTGTCATACACTAAATTGACTTGTTGGTTGATAAACTCATCGCGTTGGGTCACCGTCTGCGCCTTCAATTTGGCGATCGTGCCCTTGATTTCAGCCAAATCCTTCGCCC